GCTCTTTCTCGCCGGGCTGCTTTTCCCAGTGCTCCTTTTGGCCGTCCGCTGCCCTCTCTTGCACCGCCACACCCTGCACTTCGCAATCTCTCCGCGCCGCCAGCGCCAGGTTCTCGTAGCGAACCAGGTGCAGGACAGGCCGATCTAACGGCCGGTATAACTCGCGGGGGTGGTGTCTGGACCGCTGCACGCTGGGAAGTCTTTCCAGCGAGGTCTAGCCATGTTTCTCTATTGATGCTTCCCAAAGCTCGGGACTCGGCGTCTCTGTTTCTGCCGCGTGCACACTTCGTGGTGATGGTGCTGCTGTACCACTGAAGTAACGGCTGACTGCTGTGCCTTGCCTTCAGACCAACGCGGTACTTCTTTTGAGCCGATCTGTGCATCTCGACGTCTCCGAGGTCATATTCAGCTGGCAGAGTTGCCCGCACAAGCTGCAGCAGTTCATGTTCAACCACCATGGTCCGTCGCAGATCTGGCAGCAACGGACACCCCGTCAAGTTTGAAAAATGTCTGCCCTCCGCAGACGCTCGGAGGTTCCAACCAAACGTTTTTAGAACCCATTTCTGGCGAGGATTCCAAAAATAGAACGTTTTTTTGCAACTTTTTTGTTTTTCACCGTCAACTTCGCATTTTACCTCCTCCGCCCCGTTTCCGCGAAAACTGTCCATCGAGGCTAACTCGAGCCCTTGATCATAGTTGCAGCCAAAAGAGTGCTTAAACGAAAGCTCTTGATCGTAGCTTTCATATGATATATAGTTTGCTGTGTGAATCGTCTGCGGAGTAGAGAAAAAAATCAGATACCCTCTCAGCCTATTTATGAAAAATACCACTGTAGAACCTAGAACTATCAGCCTCTGGGGAGGGATCCGTCCCCGGAGACCCCTGCTCTCAAAAAGCCACAGTCCCAACCAATTGATCCAGCCGGGTGCTCATGAGCTAAGCGTATATCGTTGTAAGACAAAGTTACCAAGACTAATGGTGTAACTCTAGTCTGCTGACAAGACTAATGGTGTAACTTTGTCTTACACCGCACGTGGTAGGACACTAACAACGTAGTATCAAAAGCGAGTCACGGAAGAAGAAGAGAAAGGGGCGGATACGACAAATAGACTAGTGGGATGAGCGAGGTCGCAGGAGGAATGATAGGAGGAAATGCTACAAAACGATTCGTCGTGGCGATAACATGAATAGGTGGTGCTTCGGACATGGATGTTGTAGAAACCAATGGGCAACATATAGACTATATAGACTATGTAGACTAGACTAGTCTTCTGTGTAAACTATGCAAGTGACGGAGTTTCCAAAATACACCATCTTCCAGTATTTTTCGCAAATGTACAAAGTCTATAGACTATAGTCTAGTCTAGTCTAGTCTATAGTCTATGTGCCAATTAGCGACGCCTGGCGGCGTGTAGACACAGCACAGACTGCGCGACAAACACAGCCTTCCACTGCTTTACAGCGGGTGTTCACCCTTCTACGTGTGTGTGAGACGCTGTAGGTTATGGAAGAATTTCTGGTAAGCTTGACCGCGGTTGGTTGCAGCGCGAGCATATCGATCTGAAAATAAGTCATCTAGATCCGGAGCCCACAAATATTATGAACTGCTGTCTGTGCGATTCATGTAAGATTGCCACACACATCAGTTGTGATACCGAGTTCTGTGCAAAAAATCGACGTTAGGGGTGTGTGTTTTGCGTTTTCGTCCTATATTAGACTATGTATGTATGGCGACAGTCCCCACATTTGTCGTGGTGAGACGTGTACTACACTTGTTCAGCGGATGTATGTAGAGTACCACACTTTTCGGTATATTTCTTTTCGTACAACTACAATCATAATCGACTTCGTAAGTCGCGAGGGAAGGGATTGCTGTACCCTTCTCGCGATAAAAATACCTCAGGCATGAACCGCAGGAGGGGGTTCAACCCCCCCCTCCTATGTGAACCCGGTTGGATCGTCTAGCTAGTAGAAGTGGGGGATAGGGGCCAGAGGGGCAGACGACAGAGGAGTCCGATGATGGGAGAAAAAAAAAAAACATCGAGGGTCACACTATATTTTTTTTGTTGTCTTCCGACAATTGCAGATGTACCTCAGAAAACTTTCACTTCATGTCTCATACTCTACATGAATATTAAACCAATACGAAGTACAACAACATATGTAGGACTTATTTCTACTGTCACTTACATCGTAAAAATATCTCCCCTTCAACTTGAAATACAACCAATGACAACCCTCATGGTATCCTACATGCGTTCGTAAGCTTGCTCAAATTCTACTGCGTTGATGCCCGCTTGTAAAAGCTGAAAGCCAACAAATGCTTTCATCCATGCTACATCTCCGTGTTGGAAAAGCCGTTTCTTCTCCGTTCATGATAACATCTTACCCTATTCTACGCAAACCTGTCACATCTACTTTCAAACAAGACGCCAACTTCAAACGAAAACGCGTTCTACGATGCGTCTACACTCCATCCCCATATCATTGGCGTTGACTGGTTCGAGGTCGATCTTGTTCGCCTGTTTTCGGCGCCTTGACGCCCGCGCAATGCGAGCTTGTACCTCTGCACTCGCCGAGATATGGCCACCTGTGTAGCCACCGAAACGATCTGAAGAAGTCGTTCCTTGAAGACTCCTTTCAGAGCCATCGT